AGCTCGGAACTCACACTGCTACCCCAAGCAGTGCCCTTGCTGAGCTCCCTGGCAAAGGGGCACCATGGGGCACTAATGGGCTAGGGCACTTCTCTGCTTGGAACAAGGGACCATATGCCACCCTCTGGGTCTAGGACTCAGTGGCTGAGGGACTGGGACAGCCTGACCTGCAGACCTGGCTTTCCCAGCATTCTGCAAAGGAAAGTGCTTCTCAGAATCCAATTACAAGCCAGTTCGGGGGTTCCTTTCACAGTGACCACTGTGGGCCAAGAAGGAGGCCCGGAGCTGAGCACCGCACAGGGCCAGGAGCCCACCCTCCTGTCCTTGCTTTGAAGGCAGTTTTATGTGACATGGTCTAAAGCCACATGGACTCCACCAGTCTTTTAAAGAATAACTTGTCTTCCCTTGAATGAAATCATCAGTGTCCCAAGTCAACGGGAGAAGTGAAGTCATCTGAACAGAGGGGACTTAGTCTCTCTGAGAATCGGTGGTAGAGTCGAATGCTGGTGCTCTTTCCACACCTAGTCTGTCATCCCAAAGGTAAATACTTACCAAGAATTCATCTGTGGGAGGTTCTTGAACACCAGCAATTTGCTTATTGCTGTAAAGAGTTTTGCTCATTCCTGTAAAGAGTTTTAAGTTTAAGCTTTAAAAAGTTTTAAGAGTTTAAGTCAAGAGCTTTATAAGACACACAGGAAGTAGCCACAGCTACCTGTGTGTAACAAGCTCCAAGCACGTCATTGAAATGTTTGCCAGCTCTGTAGCTCCTCACCTGGGGACAGCAGCACCTTGGTGCCTGCACCCACATCGCCTTACCCCTTTCCCTGTGCCGTGACTTCTGCGAGTCCCCAGCAGTGACACAGTCATCGGCCACCATCGTCCAGGGCCACCCACCCGCTTGTCTGTCTCTCTGGCCCTACTCCTGTCTCCCTCTTCAATGCCCACTATCTCCAAAGCAGTTTGGAGAGGTCCCCCCACCCCACACTGTCACTGTCATCATAAAAGTGACAGTGTACTTGCCAAGGACATGTCTTGAGGAGCTCCCAAGACTCTCAGCCTAGAGTGGCAAACAGGGTGCTATTTTCTTACAGAGCCAGCGAGAATGTTCTCCCCAACTCTACTTTCCACCTGGGCCCCAAATCTCCCAAGTCTTTTATTCCCATTTAGTGGCCTTCACCTCCTTCCCCCAGCCCATATTGGGTGTTCAAATCCAGTCCAGCGAGCCAGACAGGAAACCTTCTCCTTCACCTTCTCTCTTCCCGAACCACCAATTCTTTCTCCACATTGTTACAGGAAAAAAAGCTCTTTGTCTACCAATGATCGCAAACAGAAGGGGTGCGTGTGCGCGAGTGAGGAAGATCTCACTTACCCAATGGCAAGGAGCGATGGTGTGTCAAGGTGAAAGGGCAAAGAAAGGCTACGGCAAAGTCCCAGCAAGATCGAGACGCAGAAGTACATACACCTGGGTGGGGCGTGTCTAGCGAGCAGTGGGAGCAGTTAGAACCGACAGCGGTTGTGGTAAGGGGAGCGGTGAAATGTAGGGGCGGGCAGTGGGCAAAGCTGACCCTCGGAAAGCAAGTGGCTGAGAGCAGATGTGGCAGATCTCCAGGGAGCTCTCAGGGGGTTTGAGCAGGGGGGTGGCAGGGTGACGGCAGTAGGCGCAACTTGTAAGGGAGCGAGAGCCCGCCGGGGAGGGCGCAGGGTGGGCCGAATGAGGGGAGCCGTGGATGCGCAGCCAAGGAGGAAAGAGGCTGAGACAGAACGCAGCAGGAGGCGCGAGCGCCTGGCCCGGGCCACAGACGGGACAGGAGCGGGGTGCTCTGGGCTGATCAGGGCACTCCCTTCCTGTGACATTGCCACTTGACTGGGGTTCCCTTCGACTGTGAGCTATATTCTAAAGCAAACTTCTGTTCCAGAATGAGTTCAGACTGGGTTCTCGCCCTTTCAGTGCCTGCGCTCTGTCCTGTAGCGTGTTTATTTCTCACTACATACCGCCTGTTCCTCACGCAGTCTCTCCAAAGTCCGCGTCCTCTCTGTCGTCTGTTGCAGCCTCTCTGCCGTGAAACTTGGTTTCCCCACCTGATTGTCCTTGGACGTGCCCATCCTGCCTTCTGTTACCTGGCGCCGTCTCTGGGATGAGGGTGGTAGGGACCTGTGCCCGGTCCTGCCTCCCAGGCCTCTTTGCCTCTGCTGTTCCATCTTCTTCCCCACCTGGGGCGGGGGAGATGTAAACTCCAAGGTTTATGCATAATTCACCAAGACCGTGAGCCCCCCTGCCCAGCAGAAGACAGTGCCTGGCTCCTCAGGTGTAAGCTCTTTGGCAGAGAACTGTGGCGTATGTTCTTCAGCTTTATCACCAAACAGGCACTTTCAGGTCCTAGGAGGCGATGTGTCCTCTACTCGTGGTCTGGAACCCAAGGACTTTCATGGGTTCAGCGTCAGCCCCTGAAAGGTTATTAATACAATGTCTCACCTTTCAACTCGGAACCTTGGGCCGGGTCACAGTTCAAAATTTGTTTGCAATATGGGTTTGGGGCTGATCCCCAACTGAAACGGAAAGCAGATACAACAGCCAAGGGACAAAGGGTTCCAAGAAACAGAGCCTTCCTCCAACGCTACACAGGGGCATCAGGCGCAAAATGAGGAAGGGCCCCAGCAGATCCTAGATCCCAGGTCTGAATGGAGGGACAGCCACTCAGCTGGGGGCGGGAGCCTTTTAATATCGTGTGGGCAGCTCCGTTTCAAAGGCATCTCTGGATGCGTCTACGCCATCCAAAGCCTTCAGCGGCAGAAGCAGACTTCCTGGAGTGCGTCCAGCACTCCTCCCTGATCCCAGCTGGAAACCACCACGGAAGAGCTTTCTCTTTGAAGTGTGGCTTTTCTCCTGCTGGGGTGGAGGGTGGCCCTGGGACCCAGGGTGACAGTCGGCTGGCGGGGCAGATTGTAATTCCACAGGCATGTGGAGGGCTTCTGTTTTGGAGGAGACATTCAAGTTGGGAATGTGAATTATACAAGGAAGGTAGAAAATCTCAGTTGAAAGGTGCTGTTCATTGTCACTGTATTTTCAAGTGAAGGGACGTGCTAGTTTCCCAGGGCTACCATAGCAACATGCCACGGGCCGGGTACCTTAAACGACAGAACTGTATTTGCTCACGGTTCTGGAGGCCCAAAGTCCCAGATCAGGGTGCGGGCGGGATTGGTCTCCTCCGAGGCCTCTCTCCCTGGCTTCCCCCGTGTCCTCGCGTGGTCCGCCCTCCGGCACACACGCCCCTGGGGTGTCTCTGTGTGTCCGTGTTTCCTCGTATAAGGACACCAGTCGTGCTGGGTTAGGGCCCACCTTAGCAGCCTCGTTTCAACTTAGTCACGTCTTCAAAGGCTGTGTCTCCAGACGCTCTCATTCCGAGGTACTGGGGGTTAGGGCTTCAGGATAAGAATTTGGGGGAGACACAATTCAGCACAAAGCAGGTGCCTAAGGGACTCTTTGAATGCTGGTGATCATCACAGCGGACATTTGTTCAGCATCACTGCGTGCCGGAGGCCGTTCCCGGCATGTGTCATGTGTTATTCCATTGGTTCTTCACGGTTACAGAGCATATGATTACAGATTATTCCTGTTAAAGTCATTGGAGCCTAAAGTTGCCTCCTTACATATTTTAAGGTCACCTGAAGGCTCTCCCTACGTGGCGAGCTGTATCCCAACCGGATGTGCTAACACACCGTAACCCACTCTGGTACCAGTCATGGAGCGGCCGCCAGCCGCTCAAACCGCGCTCAACAGGCCAGTGCTGAGCTGTCACCAATCCAGCCGTTTCCGCACCTGGCTCCCATTTTCTGTGTGTCACCTTCCTTCTTCTGTCCATGAATGTTGTCTAGCCACTTGGAGGGCCCAGGGTCGCTCTGAAGCTATTCTGGTTCTGGGGGCTGCTTGATTCGCAAATTGTTCTTTGCTCCCTTAAACTCTGTTAAATTTAATTTGCTCAGTTTTTCTTTGAAAACTACCATCTTTTCTTAAAAGCGGTAAACTTCACTTGGGGCAATTGCACGACTGTAGTGACCTTGGGTCCCTGCGATGTAGCGTGACTTGGAACAGCGGGAGACTCTTCACCGTGCTTTGGCTGGTGGGCGGTCTCGGGAAAGGGCAGGCTCCTTTCCTCGTCCGTGACCTCCAAACGCCAAACCCGGGTCGGTGACGGGACAGATGTGTGAGGGGCCCGACAACATCTTTCGGAAGGTCTCGCCCTGACAGCCCCCACACACCCGGAGTCCTGCCTGCCCTCTGGCGGGCGGGGGCGTCCAACCTGGGATCTGCGAGACGCCGTGGCGCAGCCTGGACGGCCCCTCGGCAAACGGCTGGGCATTTCTTGTGAGCTAGACCGCCGTGTCCGCCCTCGTTTCCCCGCCTGCTGACCCTGTCAGAAAGCCGGTCTTATTCCTGCGTACAGCTGTGGAACCTGAAACTGACCCAGCCACAGCCTGGGCCCCACCCTTCCGTTGTGTGACCTCGAGCCAGACATTTTACCTCTGGGTGGGTCTCGCTGGCCTCACCTATAAAATAAATGTGCGAGTTCCTTTCCCTTAGCCGGACGACACCGCACAGCTAGTCAGACACGTTTCTGCTCACGCCTGAAAGAGTCTGACACTCACACGCTACCACACCGTATTCCACGTCATGTCACCACTATTCTTGGCCTCTCCCTCCCCACCCTCCTTTTCGGGGCTCCCAGCCTATAAACTCTACAAATGAACCCACGTCTAGGAGTCCCCCATCCCCACTCCACTGCCCCAACTCCCTCCTTGTGCAGGTAACCTGCAAAGAACCCGTCGAGTTTGCATAAGGGCAAACCTGCCCTGGAGTGTGATCAGTCAGTCGTGGGCACAGTTGGGACTTCTGGGCAAGCTGTCCCAGGGCAGCCTAGGGCCACCCCGCCGGCTCAAATCGAGAGTGCCATTGCCTGGTGAGGAGTGACACGGGGCTTTCTCTCTCTTCTTTGGCCCTGCAGGAGGCTCTGTCCGTGGTGAGCGACGACCAGTCCCTCTTCGACTCGGCGTACGGAGCGGCCGCCCATCTCCCCAAGGCCGACATGACCGCCTCGGGGAGTCCTGACTACGGGCAGCCCCACAAAATCAACCCCCTCCCACCGCAGCAGGAGTGGATCAACCAGCCGGTGAGGGTCAACGTCAAGCGGGAGTATGACCACATGAATGGATCCAGGTAAGCCGCTGGGCCTGGAGGGGCTGGGCCCGCAGGGCTGCACCGAGTGGCTCCTGGCACTTGGGGCATTTGCAGCAGATGGTGCTGTGGTGCTGGGCCAGGGAGCCCGAGTCAGTCCCCAGGGAGCTGAGGCAGGAGAAGGCCACAGCACTGAAGGCTGGGGGTGCAGGGGGCCAGGAAGCCCACCTGGCTCTCTGGAGCCCATGCAGCCCTCAGAGGCCAGGTGAGAGTTAGGCCCCAAGACCCCATGCAGACAGTCGGGGAACACATGTTTTGTGTTTTGTGTCGAGCCCAGGCCCAGGTACAGCCCCTCTTGGGGATAACTTAGCAATAAGATGCTCTTCCCTGTCCTGTCGGAGATATGTAGCCTCTCTGGGTGGGTCTCAGCAGAGCCGATGGCCAAACCATTCTTTTTTTTTTTTTTTTTTTTTGAGACAAGAGTCTCACTGTGTTGCCCAGGCTAGAGTGAGTGCTGTGGCGTCATCCTAGCTCACAGCAATCTCAAACTCCTGTGCTCAAGCGATCCTTCTGCCTCAGCCTCCCGAGTAGCTGGGACTACAGGCATGCGCCACCATGATGCCCGGCTAATTTTTTTGATATATTTGTAGTTGTCCGATTAATTTCTTTCTATTTTTAGTAGAGACGGGGTGTTGAACCATTCTTTAGTTCCAGTGGAGAAGTGCTCAGAAGGGTGGGGGAGGAAGCAGGCACCTGGGGGGTGTGGGTGAAGGAGGTGGAGTCTAGGAGGGTTAGTCTTTGTTTGCAGAAATGGAGACAGGAGGGTCCAGGGGAGGAGCCGCAGGGTGGAGGGAGAGCGCAGCCCATGGCCAGGGAGCCTGGCTTTCTGGTCCTGCCTCCAGCCCTGGGGCAAGTCCTCTAAATCCCTGGGGCACTGGCTTCCTCCGTCCTCACCCAGGGCTGGAGTGGTCCTTTCTTCTTAGGCTGACACTACAGTGTCACTGATACTGCAGGGAAAGGACCGGGAGGGTGCTGATGGTGACAGCGGTCATCACGAGCAAAGGTCTGAGGGAGAGAGAACATCAGTCTCATTCACGAAGTATCAGGTGACCCACGGGGTCTAAGCACAAAGAGACAAAAATAAAAAGTAGGAGAAGGCCCTGAAAGGAGGCTGAAGGCGTATGGCGTGTGTCACATCATGAGAGCTGCGACGTAAGACTAGCAAGCCGACCCTCACTGTGCACAGGGGTGAGGACAGGACAGTCAGAAAGACAGGTCGAGGAGTTAGTAAAATATCCCAGATCAGAAATAATGAAGTTCTGAACTAAGGTGATGGTAATGAAATACGGAATATGGAAATGAAAAAGAATAGGTACGTAAGGGGCATACCAAAGACGGGGTTAACAGGGCTTAGGTGAATAAATCTGGAAGGGGGTGTAGGTGAGGGGGAAGAGTCAGAGGTGACTGGAGCTGGAGTTGCGAAGGACGGGGCCCTCAGTCGCCACGGGGAGGCGGGCGAGTAAGTGCCGGGGGAGGGGGGTCGGCATCCGTTCGAGATTCCTTGTGAGCAATCCACAGAACGTCCAGATAAGTTGTCTACCTGGCTTTGGAGACAGCAGCTCAGATAATCTTCTGGGGCTGGAATTTAGGTTTGGACATCGTCTCTAAGGAGTGCTAACTGCGAGAGCAGATGCAGTCACCGAGGGTACCTACCGGCCCAGAGAGGAGAGGGCAGGAGCGAGAGCGTGGCTGGCAGGGAGGCCCCCCCCCGAGCAGCTGTGGTCTCAGACCTGCCGTGGGAACTCCCAGCCCCGCCGCATTTCACTCCCACTAACCAAAACCAGCGACTGGGATCTCGGCCACCTTCCCAGATTCTAGGATTTCAGGAAGACTCAGAGGTTCCGAGCCAGCAGCCCCTCAAATGAGCTTCTCTCCAGAGTTAGTAACGACGATAACATAGTTCCTAGCAGTCATAGTGTGATTTATCGGACATTTTTCCGCGTTATCTTATCATCTGCTGCCCACCACTGTCCTGTGGGGTAACTGCTGGAGCTCCACTGCCGCGTGGGAAGGCGGGCTGGGCTTTGAGCGGTGAGCACCTTTTCTAGGATCTAGAGCAGGCCGGGCTGGCGCTCGGAGCCTGTGTGCGGCCTGTTAGGTGCCTTTCCTTGAGCCCCTCTGCCTGTGTCCTGCTTTTGCACGGTGGTCTCATTTCTGCCGACACCCCTGGCGAGGAGGCCTGCTCGGCGATGCCTCCCACCCGACCTGACCGCGGCAGCTCCTGGTGCTCGGTGAAACCCGGAGTCGCCGTCGGAGAGTCTTTGGTCTGTCGTAGCCGGATCCTCCCAGGGCTCACCTCCAGTGCCCCCCAGCCCAGCGCCAACGGCACCGCTCCTGGGCTTCCGCAGGGGAATCCTCTTCTCCCCTCTTCCTCTTGCCTTCCTGAATTCTGTTCTCCAAACGGCAAACAGCTAGGGTCATCCTTTCAAATATTTAACCATCCTACTCCAAACCCTTTAATGGCTTATGACAGAATCCAAAGTCCTGAGCATGCCCCCCACCCACCCACCTCCAGCTCGCTCTCTACAACCCTGTCCCTCTCACGCCTTCCCTCCACACCAGCCTCACGAGACTCCAGCTGCTCCTGGACCCCCAAGCACCTTCCTACCTCGGTCTCTCCCCTGGTTCCTTCCTTCTGGAACATTCCTACTCCATCCAGCCATATGACTCTCCCTCAAGAGTCTCTGCCTGCACATCACCTTCTCAGAGGCCTTCCCTGACCGCGGGATCTAAAGCAGCACCTGGTCACTCTGTGCCCTGTGGAGTTCTTGTCCCTGCCCCAGGGAAATGTGGGCGGGGCTTCTGTTTACTGAGCCGAGCTTGCCCCACCGTAGGTGCTGATGCGTAGTTGTCAAGGGAGTAACGGAATGAAGACCCGGCTGAGCAGACTCGGGGTGAAGCGGTTTGTTGAAGGCCATGCAGGTAGTCAGTGACTAACCGGGACCGGGACCCAGGCCTGCGCTCTCAGCCCCTCCCTCACGAGCCGGTGTCGGTGCTCAGTCGGCTGCTCGCACTCGCTGCACTGCTCCTGGAGAAGCCGCGAGCACTCTAGGCCACGAAGCCTGGGCAAAGAGGGTCCGCCAAGGCAATCGGTTTTCAGAACCCACTTGCCAGCTTGTCCCTGGTTCCAGCACACCAGGGCCAGCTGCAGGGGGGGCTGTGCGGATACCTCAGGGAGCAGCGGGAGAGCACCCTGCTTTGGTGGCACCAGCAGCAGCCTCTGCGTTGGGTTTGCTGCCTGACTCACAGCGTCAGCAGGAGACGCAGCAGGTTCCGAAGACTGGTGTCTGCTCAGCTGCCCTGGGAAACAAAGGCAATCCAGTGACTGTCAGAGCGCAGCGGGTTAGGCCCAGCCGTCGCCAGCACCTCATAAATATCCTCTAAGTGCTCACGTGCACGCTGGACTGGTCGGCTGGCAGGGAACAAGGATTTCCAGAAAAATATCTTTGTTTAAGGTGGAACCGTGTCGGATCCCATTATTGAATTATGCAAAGAGAAATGACGTGAGGAAACAGATGCCAGGCTGTCTAAATCTCTCGTCCTGAACCCTGTGCTGCTTGTGTCTTCTGAGTGTCATTGACAATGGCACTCTGTTATTTTGTTGATCATTTGCAAAGGGAGTGATTCACTGTGGCGCAAAAGACAGGTGGGGCCGCGGTGACAATCCCTAACTTCAGAGGAGAAGAACGCGGCAGGGCGCACGGTTTGGGATCTCTCGGCGCACGGGCTAGACCTGCGCAGTCCGGTGCCATAGCCGCCAGCACTCGGACCAAAATCGAGACGTGCTCTAAAGGTAAAATAATACCGGATTTAGAAGACTTAGTATGGAAAAAAACATGTAAAATATCTCGTTGATTATCAATTATGCTGAAATGATAATCTTTTGGCTATATTGAGTTAATATAGTAATAGGTTTCAATATATTATTAAAATCCATTTCACTTGTATTTTTTATTTTAAAGATACGGTCACCAGAAAATTTAAAATTATTTATGTGGCTGGCATGCAAGGCTCACATTCTACTTCTTTTGGACGGTGCTGGGCCAGAATGTTTTGCACCGCCTCGCAATTCACAGGGCATTCCTTGCTCGAGTTTCTGAGGTGCTTCTTCACACTCACTGGAAACCCCGTAGATATTTGTGTCTCTGGTGGGAAGGAGGTATTCAGTGCGCCTGAAGCTGCAAGGCTTTTCATCCCAGCAGCAAGCCATCTGGCCCAGGGCAAAGGGTCAAACCCAGAGAGCAGGTCTGGGAGCTCAGAGAAAGCCTTGTTGCCCATGTTCGGGAGACTCGCGCTCCCTTTCTTCATCTCTCCCTGTGGGGTTGACTCCGTTAGGCTGGGTTGCCTTGAGACAGCATGGCCCATAGGTTCAGTGTTGGATGTAGACTTCAGGAACTCGATCCAAGCTGTGGTCTGCAAATAACTCTCAGCTGCATCCTGTCTCAGCCACAGGGATTGGGGAAAACATCCCTCGAAGGAAAGAATATCAACTTATGGAGGGGAAACACAGGGCTTGCCTTGTGTGCCCGGCACTCAGGGCCTGAGTCCAGTGCTAGCCTGTCCTGATGCTCCCTGGACTGGCCCGGAGGGTCTGGATGCACCGAACACCCACAGATTCACACTCCACGTGCAGAACGATCAGCCTCGCAAGCCCTGTCACTTGTGCCTCCCTGACTGCAAAGCGCCTCCCTGAACTCCCACGTCCTGAACCTTGCAGTGTGAGACATGCCACACACAACCTGGGCGGGAAGGCATTCTCGGGACTCTGCGAAAGCTGTCGGCATCCACTGTGTGTGGAGAGGAAAACAGCTAGTGGGTTAGGGGGATGGTTTTGTTATGGGGGATTTTTTTTCTTGAAATTTGCTTTTAAATTATTGCACCTCCTTTTCAAAACGAAAAGTCACATCTCTGCATGAATCCTGCAGAAATCCGAAAGGCGATACAGACTGCTTAATTTTTAGACAATGTGCATGCTCCGTGGAAGACACGTGTGATAGCGCTATGCAGCTTGAACTGTGTGAACACCGTGCATCCCTCGAGGGGAAGCCCGGGCTGCAGATGTGTGGATCTGGTGATGTACCCTGAGTTCAGTCGCTGCGTCAAATGGGGAGGTGGGGAAGAGGTTCGCATAGTCTGAGGGGTCATCTTCAGAAATCTTTGAAATCTCCTTTCAGCCAAACGCCCAAGATTTCGCACCTTGTTTTAAATTGTGTTTAACAGATTGCAAGGCACTTTTGGAAATCACTGGCAGTTTTTTTAAAGCAATGTTCACTGAACACACAGAAACAGAGCCCAAAGAGTAAAGAGCCTATGTCCAGTGTGAGAATGAAGGAAAGGGGGCGGCTTTGCTGTGTCCTCCACGGCCCTGGCTTTCTGTTGCGTTGCCTGAGATCTCCATCCGGAGATTCGTTGAGTTACACCCTGGGAGCCGCCACCTCCGCCCTGCTCCATTGTGCAGCCCCAGGCCCTCCTGTCACCTGTCCCTGTCCCAGTGCTATCAGCTGCCTGTGGGCCCCGGCCCCATGCTAGCCGTAAGTGCAGTCTCAATACAAATGAGCAGCAGTGTCCTGCAGCTGAATGGTGAAACCTCGTCCGGTCCGTGCTCCCCTCCCTCCCTCCCTCTTGTTTTCATCCAGCCCTCTTCACAGGCGCCAGCTGCCTCGTCACCCTGAAGCCTTTATGCTGGCTTCACCTGTACCCACCCTTAGCAGTAGCTGAGCCCCGTGGCTGCGCGGGGCTCCTGCTCTCTGGAGGAGGCCGGGTGCTCCAGAGCTGGGAGAATGGAGGGAAGTCTGGCAGGCGAGTGGGCGAGGTACGGCTTTCCTTCTTTCTCTCCCTGAGCAGCGGGAGGAGGGCTGGCCCTGCAAGTGCGGCAGTCGGGGTGGGGGCCAGGGCATCTCCCTAGGCTGCCCCTTGCCAGTCCTAGCACAGAGGCCTGGACCGAGGACAGGGCCTCGCTCCGGAAGGGAGGTGGGCGGCCAGAGAGATCACCTGCCCGGCTGGGGAGCAGGTGTGTGCACAGGGCTGGAGGAGGGAGAGCGGGCGGAAGCAGAACCGGAACAAGTTCTGTGGGTCAGTGAACGAGGAGGTTGTGCCCACCAGACAGCTCCAGCAGCCGTCCTAGCGAGAGAGCCCCCCTCCTCTGCGCCCCCCTCCCCGCAGGTACCGACCTCACCGGGGTGCTTGCGGCTCTGCTCCTTTCCAGGTCATGCATCAGGCAGCTTTTATGACATGTTCCATCTTTTCAAATTTATTTTTCTCTACTCCTGGCGCTGGGGACCAGCCCTGCCACCTGCCTGTGCCTACCATACACGGTCATGAACCACAGAGGGCCACTTAATTTCAGTGACCCCAAGGTGCTGACCTCTCCACATGGCAAGAGGTCACTTTCTAACTCAGAAATCCCCCAGAGGCTCCATGATGGGGAAAAGAATTTTTCAAAAGTCGTCTCCCCCATGTTCGTAAAGGGGAGAAGCCCGTGGAGCATGTGCGTCCCCTCCCGCCGCACCCTGCCCGCTGACATTGCTCTCCTTTCCCAAAGACCCCTGGCCCTGCCCACACCCTCTGGTGCCGGGCATCCTGCAGCGGCCGCCCGGCCAGTGCAAACCTTGCTTCCCTGGTTGCAGGCCAACTTACTCCTGCAAACTTCTGCGGCGCTTGGGCTGTTTCACAACTGACCGGGATGCCGGGAAAGGCTGCCAGACTCTGGGGTGTGTGTAGTGGAATGTGTGTGTGTGTGCTGAAGCATGTGTGCACATGTGTACATGCGTGTTTGTGTGTTCTGCATGTTGCAGCGTGTGCACGGGTCACGTGTGCGGGTGCAGGCGTGTAGTCAACCACAGGGTGGGTGTGGGGACCCGGCGCGCTCGGGCCAGAGCCCAGCTCAGACGCCGGCTCCAGGGCCCGACTGGGGCCGCTTCATGGCAGGCCAAGTCCTTCAGCAGCAGAAGCCAAAGGGCCGAGCGCTGGTGAAAAGCCCCGATGTGCTACTGCCTCCCCTCTGCCTGCCGTGGGGACATTAAACCTTCAGCAATCTGGGACTCTGACGGCTGGTTCTTGGTTCTCTGCCTGGAAAAACAGTAGGCGAATAGTAAAACCTTAAATTCTAACATGTGTAAGTTATACATCTTATTTTCATTTTCAGCCCATGTTCCCCTCTGTAAGACATCAGGAAAAAATTACCGTCTGACTTCTAGTATCTCAGTGGAGCATTTATCTCCCAGCTATGATAAGTGATCTTCAATATTTTTTTCCTTTCAGATTAAGAAACAAATTCATTTAATTTTCTTTATTGAATGTGCTCAGGCCTCCCCCGCCCTGCCTGAGTCCCAGGAAGCCCTGGGCCGCTCTCCATCTCCTGGGTTAGTGACGGCCCTCCCTGCTTGCGGGGATGGGTGGGTCCCTCTCTGGCATGGCCCTGCTCCTACGGCTTTGCAGTGGTCTGGTCCTGCCCACAGCAGGGGACGGAGGGCAGTGGCCAGGCCCTTGGAACGTCCGGCGAGGTTGTGCAGCCCAGAGTTGGAAGCGGTAATCTGAACCTTATCTGAACTCCGGGGTCTGAAGGCCTGGTTTGGAGCTCTTGAGAGAACTGGCTGTCTCCCAGGCTGCCAGAACCGATGCTTCCTGCTCGCTGTAACCGCGGCTGCAGCCTCTCCTTGGCCTTTCCGCCGTCTCCTTTGGTCCTGCTGCTGCCGGAGTATCCGGGCAGGGCAGGATGGCACCTCCCCCGAGCACGCTGGAGGTGTGTGACACCAGGTGGGACCGTGCAGAGTGTGTATGCCAGCCTGCTCCAGGGCACCAGGTGGCCGCAGGTTGGGGGTCAGCCCGGCTCTCCGGATGGCTGTCAGTCACCAATGCTGCAAACTCCCAGGTGCTAATTGGGCTGTGTAGTTCCAGGCCAAGTTGGGTGATTTGCTTTCACCCCATGCATTTCCATATTTCTTCCCCTGTGAGCTTGGTGGCCAGGGCTGCAAAATGCCACGAGGCCCACTCCTCTCAATCAGGCTGAAGTTCCTGGATTCTATTCCTCCTTCATGCCGCAACCAGCTCTTTTGCATGCTTTGATAGTGAAGCTTCACACCAAAGATCTGAGTCCTGCTCGCCCCTGCACTAGCTGTGCGACCCTAGGCCAGTCAGCCCACCTCTGTTTCCTTAACCAAGAAAAAAAAATAGTAACCCTTTCCATGCCTATCTTGGAGGATTATTGGGAAATATAACAGAGCATGAGAAATGCATTAAAATTATATGTGTGCTACAGAAATAAGTCACTGAGAAAGCATTTGCTGCTCACCTCCCCTGCAGAGCACTGCATAGGGTGCCAGAGTAAACAAAGAAAGTGAGGACACCGTCTCAAGAAATGCTCAAGCCTGCGGGGGAAGGGCACGTGCCAAGCTAAGGATCACGCAGTGTGTCGAGTCCTATCACCAAGGCTGGGGACAGTGGGGAAGGTGTGTCCGGGAGCAAGACCAGGTTGCCTGGCAATGAGGCTAAAAATGTAAGCTGCAGTCAGCCTGGGAGGGCCGCAGGGCCACTCCGGGAAGTTCAGACTTTGGTCTGAGGGCACTGTGGAGCTGCCAAAAGTTTCTACGTAGCATAATTATAGGATCCGGCTGGGATTTGAAGAAAACTTTGGTGGCAGCATGGAGGATAGAAATAGGGCAGCATCCTTGCCGCCATCACGGCCATGACACCCAGCAGGCCGGGTGATGGCTCCATGGCTGTCTCAGAGTGACGGCCGCGGCGCTGAGGCCGGGGTGAGCTGCCCTGTCAGTGACGGCTTCCTTTGTGCTTTGTCTCCTCCCATTCTAGGGAGTCTCCGGTGGACTGTAGCGTTAGCAAATGCGGCAAGCTCATTGGCGGAGGCGAGTCCAACCCCATGAACTACAACAGCTACATGGACGAGAAGAACGGCCCCCCTCCTCCCAACATGACCACCAACGAGAGGAGAGTCATCGTCCCCGCAGGTACTTTGGGAACCAGGCTCCCGGCAGGCATTCTCTTCCCCACTCTCCAGGGGCCCACAGTCAATGGGCAGGCCTGCCCCAGGGGGCATCTAAACCTTTACCTGGTACCCTACACTCCATGGAAACGCAAAACCAAGAAAGCTGCACATCTCTCCTTCCTCCCTAGCTGCCCTCCAAGACAGTATCCCAGATGTCACCAGAACCCCGACATGCGGATTCTGGAAGCCCCACCCTCAAACTGGCCACATCACAGGCTCTACATCGGTGGCCTGGTACCCGAGGACAGACCCGCCCAGGGAGCAGAGGCAAGGCTGCCCCCACCCAAAGGAGTCTCCTGTGCTCCCAGACACGGGCATCCTTGCCTTTGCGGAGGAGGGCAGTGCAGAGGTCTGTCCTTCCCTTCGGGCGTGTACTTCCTGGCATCCGCTGGGTTCCACCTTTCCAAAATGACAGCCAGCTCTTTCAGTTTTAAAATAGAAATAACTATATTTAACAAACGGAGCGTCTTGACATGTGTGCAACAGGTTATGTCATCAGGTAAAAATAGCCTCTTTTTCCTGGGTATTGGTGCTGTCGGTTACAGAAAATAAAATCACTGTTCAACCCTTCAGTCCATTGGCCAGACGCGTTTCCTCAGTTAGCCCCGGCACGCTCAGCCGCCTGGGCAGAAAGGGAGTTTGAAAACTGCCACGTGTAGAACCGGTGCCAGGTAGAAGGAGCGAGAGCATCCAAACCTTAAACAAAGTGAATTATGGGGCAGGGATTAAAATTGATCTTACCAAAATAGCTTTACCAAAGAGGCAAAACTCCTTCTATTTGTGAAAGTGTAAATGCAGTTGTGTCTGAAGGTAAAAGAGTAGACATTTCTTGGAGGTAGTCGGAAGGAATTTGTTTGTTGGTCTAAAGGTGTGATTTGCTAATGGGCCGCTGCCTAGACCCTCTGTGTCTGTGTCCCATGGGAGGCGGTGTCTTGCCACCTCCTGGGGCTACGGCCACCTCCCTGTGTTCTGGGCCAAATTCAAGGAGGTGTGAGAAAGAGTGAGGCAGGAGACAGGGGGGCTTACAGGACTATCTCTGTACCCCATAGGACTTAAAACCAACTCGTAAAGCAATTGTAAGTTCCTTCTTCCACAGCATATGATCTGACAGAGGAAGAGGAAGAGTATCTTCCATTTATTCAGTGCTTTCTCGGTGCCAGGCACCACGTAAACTGCTTTATCTCCATGAGGTTACTTACATTATTGGATGTTTGACCTCCCACTTCCCTTGGGAGACCAGCTAGTAGTGTTTAGCCCTGTGTGTCTTCTTCCTCCTCACCAAAGAAAGCAGACAATGAAAACATGAATATGGACACCGTAGGGGCCTTCTTTATGCTCCGCCAGGCCAGGCTGAGCCTCACTGAGTCTTTGCTCCGATGGTATCAAACTCCCTGCTTCCCCCAAACAGCCACCAGCATGGGAGGGACATCTCGAGGGACTGAAGCGTTAGGGGTCAGAGAAGGTCTCCGCTGGCACCATCCCGCTTCGGTCGTCCGTTTTGGGAGGGGACTTGGAGATAGGGCGGAAGTGGCCAGATTGCTAGGTCGACCCTCCAGGCCTCAGCTGGAGTTGAAATGCTTTCCAAAGGAACAGCAGAACAGGGCCCGGTGGGCCAAGCTAACCACTGTGCTAGTGGTGAAAAGAGCGCGCACTCACATCAAGCAATTTCAAAGCGCTTTGTTTAACGACTGCACACGCTGTGCATTTGCTTCGATGTTTTGCCTCCGGCTGGATCTCTTAGACCCTCAGACATTTTGGCTTCTTCCAGGTCAGCCTGCTGGACATGAGGGAAAGTCTCATTTGGGCAAGTCCACAAACCAAGGCAATAAAATGGAAGCGGAATAACCGATTGAATTTACGGTGGGATTTTAGACAAGCACAAATGTGGGCCCCAGTTAATCACCAGCTCTGTGTGCAGATGGGAGGAAAGTGGGGCTAAATCATCCAGGAAGCACACTCGGAAGAGTTCAGCGGATCCAGAGTGGAAGATTTATAATTCATTGTGCTGTAGAGGGAGAGGAATAATATTGTCGTGGAGCCTAAAGCAAGGGAGGAAATAATAAAATATATGGTGTAAAATTGAATTTGAGGCTTTGGATACTAACAGCGAGGAATTAGGAGAAGCAAAGGATGAAATAATATGCTACATAATCCGACTCCCCCCAGGACGTGTTTCTTTAGAATTCCAAAAAGGTGCAAAATTATTTCCATTTGCCAATGATCCGTACCTAATTGCTTCTGGAGAGTGAAAGACTAAAGCAAAGCGGGGAATTTATCTGGAAGAGACAAATACGTATTTGTACAGCGACACTCTGCTTTTCGGCGTAAGGGCAGAGTATCTCCCAGGTGGGGTGAGCAGGCCAGTGAGGAGAGCAGAGGGGACCTTTGGGGGACCTACCCCTTCAACCGAGTGAAGTCCTGCGAAGACTTCGATCGGAACCCCTACGCAGATGCTTAGCAGCGATGCGACTTAACCTTGCAAGATTCCACTTTCATCTGTAAAATGGGGATATTGCGAGACATCCTTGAGAAGTCAAATAGGGCACATGGGGCGGCCAGTACATAGTAAGCACCCACCGTCTGTGCCATCACCAGTTACAGGGCCCTGGGCTGTCACTGTGACATTCAGCAGCAGTCTGTGCCCTGTGACCCAAACTCTCCTCTTCTAAGCCCTCCCCTTTTGCCAGCTCCTCCACCTCCAGCAGCAATGCAGCAACCACGCCCGTGCATGGCTGGTGCTGGGCACTTTGCAAAGCTGATGCAGCCCCTGCCACCCAGCCTGTCGCACACAGAAACCCAGGTGGGAGGAGAACCCATGCCAGCCAAGTGCAGTCAGCAGAAGCTCGCAGTACAAACGCCGGGGGATTCGCCTCTGGCGCGAGCTGCACGGTGCGGGCCAGGCAGCACAGACTTCCTTCCTCCCCGTCCACTCCTGACCATTCGTCCTGGTTCCCATTACTGCCAGGAGCCTTCGCAGACACTGCAGAGTGAGGGCGAGTTGGGTGAGGAGTAGCACAAATATTCCTGCCAAGCAGACACGCTGAATGAAGCAGCCTGTTAGAAGCTGGGGCTAGTGGCTGGCCTGCAACAAAATGCCAAGTATCTCCTCCTCCAGGAAGCCTTCCTTGACTCCCTAAGTTTACGCTATTCCCTCCCACCTATGAGTCCTTGAACGACCACCTCAAAATCCATTGCTTAGCCATGCGTTTTCCTACCTAAATGTTTCACGGGGGTAGGTGGTCCTTGAGGGCAGGCGCCATGTAGTTTTCCTTCCGTCATAAGCACAGTTAAGGTGTTTATTAGACCCACTAACAATCGGTCGCCCAGTGAAGAGATGGGTTCCAGACTGTGATAAGTGATAAGACACAAGGTTCTACCTACTGCGGAACCTGCTAGAACTCATCACTTTCCCCTCCCCCCGCAAACACACAGCCTGGCGGAGGAGTTGAGAGATTCCTCAAGTGGAGACGGCCTCCACTCTTACATTATTTGTGTGCACTCGGAGACTAAAAGGTTTTCTCTCTCAAACACCATTTCTCATCTTTGGATATTTAAATATCCAAAAAAATGTTTGGAGGTGATGGCAAAAGGAGAAAACCCAGACTGGGTTTGTGTTAAAGACGAACACCACTGGTTTCCAGCTGCGTGGACGGAGTTGCAGTGAGAGTCTACGCACGTGTCTTTCTTTTCCGTAGCCATCTGAGGGATCTGTGTTCTCGCGAGAAATCATCAATATTCTGAAAACACAGATGGTTCCCCTTTCCAGGAACATTGGTCCCTGGTTCTGTGGAATTGTGTTTATTTTCATTGTGATGCCACCATTGCTCAGGCAAAGGTTTCAACTGCCCTCCGAAAACTGGAAAGTGTCCCGTCGGGTACGAAGCGAGGCAGCTAAGAACCTCCCTGGAGTGCTGAGTGGTTCAAGCGGCGCCAGATGCCGTGGAGCCAGATGGGGGTTCTGGGGGACCATCTGCAAGGGACCTGCCTTTCCCACAGAGAAGGGCAGAAAGGGAGAGACAGAGAGGGACAGAGAGGAGGGCAGGCGGGAGGGAGAGTGGCAGGCTGCCCAGGACGCTCACGCAGCCCTTGCTGACGGCATCTTGTCCCTTCCCCTCTGCAGACCCCACGCTGTGGACGCAGGAGCACGTGAGGCAGTGGCTGGAGTGGGCCATAAAGGAGTACGGCCTGATGGAGATCGACACGTCCTTTTTCCAGAACATGGACGGCAAAGAACTGTGCAAAATGAACAAGGAGGACTTCCTCCGCGCCACCACCCTCTACAACACGGAGGTGCTGTTGTCGCACCTCAGCTACCTCAGGGAAAGTAAGTGCCACCCAAGCTCCCAGGGCCAGGAGGAAGCCCGCAAGGGCTGCTGGCTTCCCATGGAGCCGACCCAGGCAAAGAGACTCGGTGTCGCCGGTCGGGAGACGCAGCACGGTCAGGTCTGTGCTGCTGCTGCCGAGGTCACCCGGGTTTCCGCAGACCCTGCGGGGGCAGACCCACTCCCCACGCGTCGAGGGCAGAAAAGCGAGGGGTGGGGAGGAATAGGGAGCTGCGACCAGAGGGGGCCTGCCCGAGGCTAACGGCGCTCTGCCCACGAGAGCCCCTTTCCAGAGACTCCTTCGACCCGTGATTCTGTAGAGACGATGCCCTGGCTGGTGCTTTCCTAAGCAGTGGTTTAAAGTTCCTGCAGGAAACTCTGGGCTCGTGGCTTTTGGATTTAAAGTTTTGAAAATTTACATACTAGCTTCCCCTTATCCTTGGGGTACCCTGGCACCCCCAACCCTGCCCTACAGGGCTGTCTGCACACTGCCTCGCTAACCAGGGAGATCAGCCAAGGCGACGGGGTGTTAAGATCTAGGGGACGCTCGCTCCCGGCCCGGCCGGGGAAGGAGAGTAGCTTTGCAAAGGGTGAGCTCAGGAAAGACACAGGCAGCCGGCCACGCTCTTGGTCCGGTAGGAGGTTCCCGGGCACTGAACACCCAGAAATCTGACAGGAATTTCACCGGAGACAAAATGCTCGCAGAGCAGAGGGACGGAACCATTTTAGACCCGCTGGTGACCTCGGCTCTAACTCTCTACCAGAAACCCAGGCAGGTGGTACAGCAATGCCGCCCCCAAGTACCGGGTGGCCTGAAAAGATGGTTCGAGGGCCACAGCGTCGATGCCCCAGGAAGACAGCCGTGGGCTCACGCTCGCAGGGGCTCCCTAGCGGCCAGCCAGCCATGCGCAAGGACAGACGGGGCAGTGCGGTGCCGCGTTTGCTGTGAATGGCCAGGGCCGCTGGGGTGTCGCAGGAGTTACGCTTTGGGAAGGTGTTTGAGGGTAAGTCCTCCTCCGAAGCTGAGGTCCTGGGACAGCACCTCTGGGGCCCGCTTTTCTGGTCTCACCGCTCCCTGTGCGCTCTCCCTTGTCCAGTGGGCCTGCAGCACGCCACTCTGTAACCCGCTGTCTCATTCGGCAACGCTGCAACACACACCGGCTGGAAAAGTTAAAAATAAAAAAAAATGCCTTCGGAAGTTTCCACCAGTGCCTCTGGGCTCTCGGTCACCTCTCCGAGGCGTCTGGTAACCGGAGGGAGAGAGTGGATGATGCAGTACTTGTTAGCACCAGAGCGATGACCTCATGTCTGAGTCTTGCTGCAACATGAGGTCAGCCCAAGGAGCAACGATTTCAAAAAAGGGGACTAGTTTCCACCCAGCTTTTCTGAGTTTTGGATAATTAGCATTTTCTAATGATCCATATTTTTCAGGCTTTAAGTGTTTATAGAATAAAAAATAGTAAGGATCTCTGACCGGAGTCCCGCGGTGGTATAGGCGGGAGCGGGGGAGGGTGGGCACGCAGAGGCGGACCATGGGAGGAAAGACCAGCAGAGCAAAGCAGGGGCCCACCCACCTTCCCCACTTCGCCCAGAATCACCCTTGGTAGGAGGCTGTGGGACCCCTGACCCCTTTTCTTCATTTGTGGGAGGAGAGCAGCCCAGATGGCGTGCTCTGAACAGTTAGAGGGCCCAACACTTGTGGGCAAAGCCCGTTCATGCCGTGAGAACCCCAGGCCCTGACCCGTCCATAAACAGCCCAAGTTCTCGCTAGTGCTTCCTGTTGCCAAGGAACCCGAACCCCAGATGCTGAAGTGAGGCAAATACCTGCCTCTCAGATGGCCCAGGTGTGTGCGAAGGTGGCCACTGGTACCCATTCACGAGACTTTCAGCTGGAGGGGAGTGGGCTTGAGGGCACGGCGGTGAGCAGGCTGTGAAGAAGTGGAGATGCACAGTTGGCTATTGTGGGGGGTGTAACATGGCAAGAAGAAGCGTGAATTGCTTCTTTCTTTTCAAGAATGTTTGTAGACAGAAGATGCCCCCAAGGCAATAAAAACACGAGGTTTCCAGAAAGGTGCTTATTAGTGGAGCGAATCTCCAGAGTGGAAAGGAGGCAGAATCGAGCACATACATGGAAGACCTTCAAAAATGCAGGACAGATTCCCGGCACCAGGAGACGGCCGGCTATAGCTGCAGCGCGCCCCAGGATGAGAAGCTGCTCTGCCACGCGGTGACGGTGGTGAGAGAGAGCACGAGAGGCGCTTACGATACAGCGTCGAGTGAAAAAGCTCTCTAGACAGTGATCTGTGCATTGATAGAAAACCATGTCTGCACGTCTGCCTGCAAAAGCAAAAATACATAGTTGTATTAAGTTAAAAAAAAAAAAAAAGAAAACATGGCCCAACATAGTACTATAATATCCTTTTGAGGAACCTAGACTTAACTGACTGCTGTCAGGGGAGAGACTTTTCAAATCACGCTTGTCTTGAACTCGTGTCCAGGGTGGGGTTCCTGGTGTCGGGTGGCGGCTGGTCGCTGAGCACCGGCAGGAGGCCTGTGCGGGCGACTGTCTCTGCCGTCTCTGCTCTCCGGATTTCTGGGAAATCCCTAATGCCGACCAACAACTTAAATGCTTTTAGAGCCTTCTCCCTTCGTTGTTTTTCCAGACCGACTTCCAGGGGATGTTTTGTGCTTGGGAGGGAGGCCGGTGCTCGGGGAGCGGTGACGCGGCCGCGTGGAGGCTAGGGGAAGGGGGCGCTAACTCTTGTGCTCTGTCATCTGGTCTTTCTGTCAGAGGCGGGCAGGGGTCCGACATTTCCACTTTGGCAAGAGGTGGGAGGAAAATAGCTGAGATCTCAACACAGATGAGGAAGTCCTGTGGGGCGAGGGGAAGTTGAGAGGGGAGAACTGGGGACCTGAGCCAACCCCAAGTCAGGAGACTCCAGATGGGTGGCACCTCTCTGATCGAGTCTCTATGGACCTTAACAGAAAGTCTAGAAAAAAGGAAACCTTGTCAGATAAGAAGTTTCTGTCATCAAATTTACCCTTTCGCAAAAGGTTGACTATTTATTCTGGTTGTCTGGGAGGGGAGAGATATTCTTAAACTTTAAATGCCAAATTTGAAATTTAAAAATGTATTTTCCAGGGTGGGGAAGAAATAGCAATGTCCTAAGCCACCGTAGACCCTGCCGGATGGCCTGGCGTGCTCGGACTCATCCGGCCTGCCTGGAGGAGCTGGCTCCTCACGCTGGGGCACTCAGCTGGGCCAGACAGAGCGGCTGTGTGACACCACCACCCTCGAAACCCAAGGGCTCTGGCCAGAGTGCCCACGGCCCTTGGGGTCATTCTGAGGTCTCCTGGGGAACACCAGGGCTCAGGCGGGCCTCTGCCCAGGTGCCGTTCTCCTTACAGAAAAGGAAGCCCCCTTGTGGACAACTATTTATCATCCCCATTTTAAAGCCCAAACAACTGAGGCCCAGAGAGCTTCAGAAATTGGGTCAAAGGCTTACAGCCAGTGGAGAGTGCCTGGCGTCTGAGACTCAGGCCTCTTAAGTCCCGGTCTGCAGCCCAGGCCCCAGCCTCATGCTGCTGCTGTGTCTTCCCTGGCCCCGGGACAGCGGTAAGCCGGCCACTTGTGTCACCCTTGTCTCCCCTGCTGACTTCAGAGTCCGCCTTGCTCCCCCGGGGCTTCCGCACTGAGGGCCAGGCCACTTTCCGTTTTCTAGCTGTGCCAAGAGATAAATGCTTTCCGAAAACTTTCCTGTGGCCTTCTGGAACGAGGCCGGTTAAGCCAAACCTTTCGCCACACTAACCCTGTCCTTCTCTGGACCTGACTGGCAGCCGCCGGTCTCTCTCTCGGACACAGCCCGTTTGGCAGGGGCCGTATTTACAGACGCGGGCTGCGGGAGGTGAGATGGGCCCTTCGCAAGCCAAGATGGGAACCGACTTCAAGGGAAGTGAGGGCTCTCTGTCCCCAGCTGGCAGTTCAGGCTCCAGGCCACTGGAGGGAGTTTGGGGGTGTCTGGGCGCCCCGCGGGTCCAGCTGGGGGTGGTCAGAGGCAGACGGAAAATGTCTATCTGGGTCTGACCTGGGAAAAATGCTAAGAAAGTGCGTTTTCAAACAGTGGCTGCTCAAGAGAACGAAAGATATTGTGTGACAGGGAGACCACAGAAAAGGTATCTGTCTTGAGTCCCATTTTTAATTTAAACTTAATGGAAAACACATTTTGCATTCTGTGGTCTTCCCACCTGCAGCCTCAGATGGCTGGCAGAAGCAGCGGCTCTGGGCAATGACGCCGGTGACGCGTTAGCCCTTCCAGGACGATTTGATGGGAGAACAGGAGGCCAGCAGGGCCAAAGGCCAGCTTGCCCTGGACTCAGGAGTCAGGCCCGTGCTGTTGCTGAAGGAGCACAGAGCCCCGGCCCCCACCCCCGTGCCCCTGCACTCAGCCGCTCAGCCGGGGCCATCGACGGCGGCACGGCCCGGAGAAAAGGGAGACCCAGATTCAGTAGGCCGCTGGGAGGGGCGCGGGGGGTTCCGTGGTCACAGCCAGGCAGGAGACAAAAGCCTGGCACTGGGACGCTTGTCCCCCAGCTCCACGTGTCCCAGATGAAAGGCAGGTTAGGCAGAGGGAATGTGGCACGGAAGAAAGCAGGAGCACGGGCTCCCCCCGCCGCGCACTCGCGCTGCTCACCCGCCGCCGTTCCCTCCCGGTACCGTGTCAGCGACGGACGGGCTCGAAGACGGAAAATGATTTCTCCCTCATGTTCCCACTTTGGGAAGGCCATTCCACCCCTCAGCAGCAGCCACTTCATGCTTTTCAGAGCAAAAAGCGCCCCAAATAAATAGCGATACATATATGTGTGCAGGTATGTACACATACATGTATACGAACATACACGCATAAACGAATAACCAAGTGAACGGATGTTTTAACTGAAGTGTGACACACAGAGAAGGGCACAAATCTCAAGTGCACAGCTCAAGGAATCATCACAAAGTAAATCCCCTCACTCACGTAAGCACCTCCAGGCCCCGGAGCAGAAGAGAAGCCCCCTGCGCCCTCTCGCCGTGCTGCCGCCCCTGCCTTCCCAAAGCAAACCGCCACCCTGCCTTCCCAACCCCACAGGGGAGTTTTGCCTGTTTCATTGATTGAGCCTGGAGGCTGCGGTGTCTGCAGGGCTGAAGACAGCTTTTGTGGCTAGACCAGGGGCTCCTGCCTCCTGTCCTCCCTGGCTGTGTGATCCCGGGCAAATGACATGACTTTGCCGAATGTCAGTCTCCTCACCTATAAAAGGGGAATAATATGGCGCCCGCTCTGCAAGGCTCGAGCAAGGGTTAAGCGAGAGACTGGAGAGAGAGTGTCTGGCGCACTGTGCGTGTTGCTCCCTTTGTAGCCTGCGTACTCCGGTGGGCCGGTGCCAGGAAAGACCAGGAGCTCGCAGTGCGTTAGGCCCATGCGGGACTAGCCCAGAAAGAGCCTGGAAGCCGGACGAAGCAGCCCGAAGACACAGAGCAGGAGGGCGGGGTCCAGGGAGCAACTGCCTGCACGGACCACGTCCTCTTAGGGAAGAGTGTGCTGTGCTACCCTCTGGAGCCTGGGGAACTAGTTAAATAAAACTCGGAGAAGAGAAGGGAATGTGGGTCCCTGGGGAAAGAGGCGAGATGCCCCTCGCCAGCCCCTCCTGGGGGAAGGGCACCTCTCCTTCTAGGAGGGAAACCTGAACCAAGAACCATCTTCGGGGCAAAATCCTTTTCCTAGGTTGCCGTGAAATATGTATTTCATGCAAGCTTTGGAGAGGTCAAATGACCCTTTCTCTTAGCTTTCTGGGAGTTTCCTGAGGAATTCACATGTGCTCAAAGGAGAACTTTCACCAAGGAGAAATTTAATAAATGCGGTTTATCTGAGCTCCGTGCTCTCTGCTAAATCTGCACGAAGCTCAGGCGGTTTGCTCCTCAGAGACACCGTTTTTCTTTATTTGCTCCAGCAGGGAGGTTGCCGCCTGAGGGGGAGAATGCTGGGGACAGAGAGGCCAGCATTCTTGCGTTCACTGCGGGGATGTTTCTGTATCCGCTTGGAACATTTGGTTCCATTTCTTAACCTCCTTCCAGTCATGGAGGATTACTTCTTATTGCAGCAGAACCCATTCATAACTTCCATTCCAGAGGACAGCACGGACGCTCAGCAGACTCTCATATGAAGGGGTTTACTGTGTGTGATTGGGGTGTCCGGGAGAGGGGCATAAAAAGAATAATGACAGTGTAATAGTTAGCACTTACCGATCACTTCTCATGAGCCGGGGTCTGCTCTGAGCACTTTGCATGCATTGTTTTATTTAGTCTTCACAGCCACCATATGAGGTAGGTATTATTACTAGCCCATTTTGCAGATGAGGAAGCCATGGTGCAGACAGATGAGGTGTATCGCTGGAGGTCACAAAGCTAGTCAGCGCTAAGAGGCAGGTCTAATCTTGAACTCTCGTTTGCATAATAACATAGAGCCATGTGTCTCTTAATGACGGGGCTAGACGTCATCGTGCCAGCATCCTGGGGTATGCTCACACGACCCTGGATGTACAGCCTGCTGCACACCTCAGCTACATGGTGCAGCCTCTCCCTCCCACGCCACAGGCCTGTGCAGCACGGCGCTGCGCTGAATGCCCAGGCAGTTGTAGCGTGATGGTAACTCTGTGTGTATCTAGACACACGTAAACACAAACAAAGCTGCAGTAAAAATATGGCGTAGTAATCTTACGGCACCACCATCAGGTATGCAGTCTGTCATTCCTCGAAGCATCGTTACTCAGTACCTGACTATTAAAACGAACTTGCCCCGGCCTCACTTTGTCATTGATATTCTTGAAAACAGACCAACCAAATGTAGTTGGTTCTAGGGTATTACAGTCACGTGACCGTCTCATTTGCATGTAGCAGTCTCGATGTCGCCCCCGCCCCACTCCTTGTTTTTGTCTGGACTGTTTCCGAGCTTGAAGTAACAGTCATGTTCTAGGCGGTTGGAAGATTCTTACAAAATTCCCCTCCTCATCGTCTGGCCTGGCAGCACACACATTTTCTCCGAGACACCCAACCAAACACCCACAGCTGGGGGGGAGGGGGGGCAGCAGCTCCACTTCAGCGCCCCTTCCACGGCTGGAAACTAAAATAGGGGTGTCCTGACAGCCCGTTCCCAGCGCCGGCACCCAGGGCAGCCCACTTGGCCGCGGGGAGCAAGGGAAAGGGTTGTTTAGAAAAGTCTTCTTGGCCTCAAGCGCATGTGCTGAGCCGCTGGTGTCTTGTGAAAGCAACTCCTGGCCCTGGTTTCGGTGGCTCTTTAAGATTTCCCCAGGAGAATCTCAAGGAGAAATGCAAAAATGTCTGAATTTTACAAAATAAAACTCTGAGTTCACTTTAAACAAAGGAACAATGCTAGTTTTAGGAAAGAAGGGAGAATTTGTTTTACGTGCAACAAAAATACTTACCCCTTCAAGATGCCTAGACCAGTGCCTGGCACAGAGTAGATACGCACCGAAGTTGGATTTTAAGCACTTGGAATGACAGAAAATTCAATGCATTACTCCTCGTGCTTAGTTGTGGCCTCTTAGGCACAGGCAAAGGGAGGCAGAAGTTCCTATTTGGAGGACTGTCCCCCAGCTCCTTCCCAACACCCCTCCACCGCAACGAGCACCCACCACCTCACCCCGCCTGTCAAGGGACCCGCACGCACATAACGCGCAGATGTCAGAGCAGGGAGGATGGTGCTGGCTTCTCCGCCAGGGCGTGGCAAACTGCAAGCTGCAGCCCAAATCTGGCCCATGGACATAACAAAACAAGAACTAAGAAGAACGTGCAACAGAAACAGCAATTAACCTATAAAGCCTAAAATATTTACTATCTGGCCTTATAGAAAATGTTTGCCCATCTCTGCCCTAGCTCGGGAAGAAATCAAAGTGGAGACATGTCCAGGCCCATGGAGACCCACGGTCACATGGAGAGTCAGTAGCAGGATAGGACAGACCCGGGTTTACTGATTCGCACTCCCAGGTTCCCACCATGGCCTGGAGCCACCGGGCACTGGAGGACTGTAAACATGGCGGGCATGGCCTGTTTCCCTGAGGAGCTTTCTGTCCTGACTTACTCTGTCTCCAACTCCAGGAGGCTCTTTCAGGCCTGCGTGATTGGCTCCAAGCAAATGGTTTCCATGGACTTCTTCTTTTTCTCCAGGAGTCCCCTGTCCGTCTTCCCTCCCTACCCCCACTCCTTCCTCATGCCGTCTCCTGCTCTTGCTCTCCGGAGAATGTTCGGGTTCTAACCTGTTTTTTGCTTGCCTCCCAGGTTCACTGCTGGCCTACAATACAACCTCCCACACAGACCCATCCTCACGACTGAGTGTCAAGGAAGGTGAGTCTGTTCTCTCGCGCACTTCAGAGTTTCTTTAGTACCGGGCATGGCATGAACACAGTCCCACGCCAGTAAGACTGGTGTGGACAACTGCAGGTCTGTGCACCAGCTTCCTTGTTCCACTCAATTTTTTCCAGCATACAAGAAGCCAAAGTTTTTACCACTTGTGCTACTAGTTGCCAAAATACAACAAACGAGGTTTTAAAGTATCCTGTAATAATATAAAGATATAACTTGAAGTTACTGTATGAAAGGGAACTTGTCGCTCTTGACAAGAATGAAATGGATGCTGCTTACTTTCAAAGCTGAAAGTTGGGGTGTTTCTCTGCTGAAGATAATGAAATGAAGACTTCAAGGATTCTAGCATGTCCATCTCTGGTTTCTTTCTAACAAATTTTAGCAATGTCAATTGATTTTTTTAAAGTGGCGGTTTGAGGATTTGGTCTGGTCTGGTCTGGTTTGGTTTCGTTTGTTTTAGAGAGGAAGAAACCCATCTCAGCAAATGGTTTTTGCCAGTGAAGATTTTAGCAAACATCACGATAGCGTTTTTCAGCATCTTTATTTATGAAACATTACGAGGATTAATCCAGACACTGTGTTAGATTTCAGGCATCTAAACAAGTGAATGATTCATGGTACCTGGGTTACGGGAGAAGAAAAAATGCAAACAAATAATTATTAGGAACGAGAGAGGGAATGAAAAAATTTTCCCATGGCAAAAGAAAAACTCCTTGGAGGAGGAAACTTCTGAGTGGGAGCTTGCGGAATGACCGGAGTGTGGCAGGCCCTCTCCTCCTTGCCACTCCTGCCTCCTTTCTTTCTTTAACTCACTCTTGCCGTAACGTAGAATGAAGGCGCTTTCAGTGTTGGTTGCACGTATGTCGCCCAGCATAGCGTTTCAGAGGGACATAAGGCTTTTCTAAGGGAAGAGACCATTTGGTTCAAAATCCTCACTGGCTGTGGACACCCAAAGACACTGGCTGGGTGTCTTGTCCAGGGTTACACCTTTGATCACATAGGACTTCATGTTCCTGTTAACAGTTGATGATTTGATAATGACTAGAACAGTGAGTGGAAGAAATATACAACGTAATGAATCTGCGTTTAAACTTTCATGTTTTTTTATTTGCTTCCTTCCCTCCTATCCCACCCTGAGCCAGTCCTGTTTCTACTGCTGTTTTTCCCTTCCAATTCAGATTTATTGAATTTTGCCATGAAAACTGACATTATATTGATTCATTCTGTGTTCCGAGCCGTATTTTACTTGATGACCTATTTTAACATCATGTTGCAGATGTCTGTAAGAGGGAAAATATATGTGAGTGGCAAATGTGTTAGAGTGAAGGTCAAGGCACCTTCGGCTTACTTTGGGAAAGTCACTTCATGCCCTGAACCCCGGTTTCCTTCAGATGAAGGGGATGGACCGCATCGGGAAGAGCCAAGCCTGACTCTGGAGCTTGGGGCCTCTAAGGAGAAGCCCCTGGAGCCGCAGTGCGGGCCCAGCCCCATCCGGAGCCACCGTGCTTTGAGTCGTTCCGTCGCATTTGCAGATAGGGATCCACTTCTTGGAAGGAAGGAAAAGAGGGAGAAAGGGAAGGAACAACTGGATGGAGAGAGGGAGAAAGGAAGGAAGAAGGAAGGAAGGGGGGAGGGAGAGAGGAAGGAACCCTCAGTCTCTGAGCTGCTGAGCTAGGATCCTGACAAGTTCTTCCAGCTCTCTGGGCTGCAGGCTGCTAACAACGCCAGAATCAGCCAGTGAGCTCTGGGGTAGAGCCAATGAAAGAGTTTCTGATATCGGGCTTAAAATATAGGTTTTAGTTGAGAGACTGGTTTGTCCAAGTTGAAATGTGACGCTAACAAACTCCCCCCCACCCCGCCACGGGTCTCAGTGCTCGGCCCTCCCCTCTACCTGCGATGCTGCGTTGCTGCGTTGCTGCGTCGCCTCCCCTGGGCCCTTTTGTGTTCGGGGAGCACATTTGTAGTGCTGCTGGCTTATTCAGGCTTACCCGAGGCGCGGCTTGCTCGTGCTGGGTAGCAACCCCTCTCCGAAATGAATTAACTGCAGTATCCAGGCGAACGCACGCTCATTCAGGTGGTGCTGGGCATTTGTCTCCCCACGTCAGCCCCGGCCTCTGGAGACGATTAAGTCTGCGCTTTGCAGGTGCATCTTTTGTCCCCAGGAAAGCTCTCCACTCGAGCTGTCTTGCTCCCCTGCGCCTCCCCTTGTGAGGTGGTCTGAATCTGTCTGAACAACCCACCAGGCCACAAAACAAAGTACATTAGCAAGACAAAGCTAACCGGGCTGTCTCTCCCTCCCTCTCATGCCCTCCCAACCTCTCTCTCTCCCGCTCTGCTCTAATAGTTATCTATTAGCTATTAGAAGACATCATGCGACCTTGACTCCATCTTCTTTGAATAAGACACACACAGCCCCAGAGTTCATCAAGAGTACCAGAGCTCCGTGTGCGTGTGTGTGGACGCGTGTGCACGTGTGCACGCCACAAAGGGCAGGTGCTGGCATCAAGCACAAAGGGAAGGAGTCGAGGAGATGCCGTCTATTAATGGGTCTTCAGAGCACTTATCAAATTAGAATGGCTTTTTACTTTAAAATGGCGTAATCACTCTTCCAGCTCATTTCTTGAAAATGGCTGCAATCTCCAAGGGTTATTTGTGCCCAGGAAGTAAGACTAGATTTTTAAAATTAATTTGTAACAATCTTTAAGCCCCTTTTAATTAAATATTCTGTGGACATGGATTGGACCCAGCTAGAGCAGTTAGTTGTGCTCTCTCTACGTTTAGTTAGCAAGGCTAGTACACTTAAAAAATAAATCGGGACAGAAGCTATTGTTGTCCGTTTACAATAGCAGCCATGACTGTCATCCATACAGAGTTTTGGAAAAACATCAGACACTTCCAGAAGCTTTGCTTTTGAACCTTGCAGAATCCCTTTGCGGTAGATATTATTATCTCTATCTTGCCGATGAAGCAAGTGAGGCTCGGTGACAGTAAGTGACTCGCTGAAGGACACCCGGCTGTTCAATGGCCTAGCGAGGACTCAAACTCAGGTTAGAGGACTGAACGACCCTCCTTCAGGTGGTCTTCCTGACAAATACAGCTTTTCCCTTCCAGCCGCCTTCTCACAAAAGCAATACGCAGCCTAAAGGTAATTTGGGCAGAGATCTGAATTTTTTGCATTATTTTTTTCTGCCCCTGCAGTTTTCCCACTATCAGCTCGATTTACCTCCCTGAGCTAATTCTCTTTTCCAAAGAGGAACCCACACACAGTCTCTGCTCGGCACCAGCCACTAGTCCTAACCACCCAGAGGACCACCTGCAGAGCTTTCTAAACTACTGATCCCTAGGACAAACGCTGTACGACCCCACTCACGTAAGATAACTAAGGCAGTCAGATGTGGAGAGACGGAAGTGGAATGGTGGTTACCAGGGGTGGCAGGGAATGGAAATGGGGAGTTATTATTTGATGGTTCTAGAGTTTCAGTTTAGGACGATGAGGAAGTTCTGGAGATGATGGTGGTGGCGGTTGCACAGCAATGTGCATGTACTTGATGCCGCTGAACTTTACACTTAAAATGATTAAAATGGTAAATTTTATGTTACGTATATTCTGCTAAATTTTTTTAAATGCGAAAAAATTGAAATAAAAAAAATGCTGATGTCCAAGCCCCCAAAATGACTCACTAATTCAGAATCTCCAGGAGTGACTCCTGGGCACTGGAATTTTGTGAAGCTCTCCAGTTTGCTCCTGCAAGCCAAGCTCGGCGCGCTGGAGACGCCCCGCGTCGTAGCGCAGAGATGGCTTGAGGAGGGAGGGGACCGGCTCTGAGCTACCTCAGGCCCGGCCCCCGTCATCCTAGGAAGGGAAGAGCAGGACCTCTTGTTACATTGATAAAGGCTTGGAGAAGTGAAGGTACCGTGTAATCATGATTAGGTTTTTTCCATCATTGTCACTGATGATTGATTTTATTGATTTATGTTATTATTATTTTGACAAGTTTAGTACAGAACTTCGCATCTCAGAAATTCCTTACTTATTCCGAACTCAGTCCCCTAAGAAGTAGATATGGTGTTGGTAACTTGATTTTACAGGGAGGACACTGGGATTCTAGACGTTAAGTGGCCTTTCTAAGTACACAGGAGTCCTGGAGCCAGGGCTACTGCGTCCCCTCCCCTCCTTTCCTTTCCCGTCCTCCTGGCTGCAGAAGTGCGTGCGTCTGTCCTGGGCGCGGGTCAGGGCTGCACGCTGTTTTCCTGGGCAAGCCCGCCCTAGGGCCTTCCCAACCATGCGCAAAATCCAGCAGATCTCCTCAGAGCTGCTTTGCATGCCTGAGTCCTCATTTCCTTAGTTCCTCCTGCAGAATCTGTTTAAATACCTCTGCCTCTCCAAAAGATGGAGGATATTGAGTTCCTTGTTTATTAACTCCTGGAACTCATCAGCCCGCCGGGGCCGGCGGAGCGCCGGGCTTCCAGCCGCAGTCTGGGAGCCTCTCAGGACCTGCTGCTGAAACCGAGAGCCCAGCCCCGCTGCGGGCAGAGTGTCTGCTGCGGAATGGCCGTGTCCAGCACATGCCCGGCTAATGGATAAAAAGTCTGTCTGCTTACGTGCTAATATGGAAAGAGAGGGGAGAAACTACCTTTCTGCATCCTGCCTGGCGCTGACACCGGCTCACGAGAGCCCTGCTTCTCTTGAGCAGATCTGCGCACGGCGGGGCCTGCAGGTAGTAGCGATCCCTTCTTTGCAGCCCTTCATTGTTTGCCAAGCGTTCTCACAACCACTGTCTCCTTTGTGCCCCAGCCACCCCCGTGAGAGGACAAGGCTGCTGTTATTATTACCCCATTCTGTAGATAGTGAAAACAAGGCACAGAGAGGTGACAGGTTCATTAGGAGTCACCCAGGTCTTGGGGCAGAAAGGGGCTTAAATTTGGGTCTTTTGGTTGTTCTTTTGTCCCTCCAGGCCACTTCTCGCATCGTTATCTCAACA